AAAAAAGAAATGCTACGCGCACGCGCCTGGGATTCAGTGCAYTGCCTAGAACCTCGTTCCCAGGTACTTTTTGTCCGCCATTTTGAAAGAAAAGTGAGCAGAAAGCGCTGGGAACGAGTTATTTGCGGTACACACCCCGAAAAGGACTGATATCACAAAGCCCAATGAGCAACTAGGACAAAAACAAAAAAACTCCATAAGAATAACAATCATTTACGAATCCTTACCAATGAAGACGAAGAGCATGCAAAAAGGCCGACAGTCCTTCCATGACGAGTAAAATTGCAATGGTSAGTTCTATAAAAAATGTAATATAAATCACTCCATCTACATTTACTAGTATTCTCTCAAGTGGCATCGTATAACGATTACATAACGTGATAATGCGATCATAGTTTCTACTGGTTGCATACCTGCCCACACGGTGAACAATGCAAATGTACCCACTATTCCAAGCGCTCCTTTCATTGGCAATGCAAGGTGGAGGATCATGGTCCAAAGAACCTCGGAAAGCTCTGCAAAATTACCATTTTTATCATTTTCAGTTTTATAATGATTGTAATTAAGGTCGCTGCAGTTGAATGCAATAATTTCATTCATTTATTTATTTACGTTCTTTCTTTTTTTTATTTYCCATTCTTTTCCTCCCTCTTTCCCAACCTCGTTCCCAGGGCGAAAAAAGCGAGCAGAGTAGCCCCGAGGTTGTCCTCTTTCCCTCCTTCGCTCGTTCATTTGTTTTTTCACTCATTTATTGAGTATATTTACCAGCGTGCGCTAAACTCAGAGCCCAAAGACGTAGATAAGAGGCTGTGTTTGAAATACAWCCAAGACAGTACTCAATTGTATGGATAGCCTGATGGACAAATACYTCACCAAAGTCAAACTAATAAGAAAAAAACGATATTTAAATCATATAATTATCTATAAAATAACTATATTTTTCCATTACGTTAAGTTATTMTTTTCACTAGGTATCTTGAGAGATGCATGTCCGCTCTTGAAGTAGATCAACAAGGACCAATCAGGTGCCGTGATATCGGGACATCTGATGGTGGCGATATTATTGGGGAGATGGACACTTCTGGTTATGTACTTCTGGAGGAGGTTAATTTCACGATAGCAAAGAACACTTTAATATCAGAAATACAGTACCTCCTCTTCGTGYTCAGAAGCTTGCTGTTTCTGAAATTCTTCATTGTGGATTACTTCTCCCTGAGCTTCATCTTGTATGCCTCTTGGAAGTTCTGAGTCTGAGCTAGTCTCACCTCGCAAGCGATGAAATCCCTCCTGTAGATGTCAATAATTAGTGCCATGTAAGACTAGTTTTACTGCAAATCTCATGACAAAGCATAACAGATAACAATAAACTAAGTTTCTACCGGTTCTTGTTTCTTTTTGTGTTGATGTCTGAGATATAGTGGCTTTAGTAAAAGCATCCATGGAACACATAAAACAGCTGTTACAACAAGCAAGGGCTGGATGGCAGACTGTTGAAAGAAAAATGCATAATAAGTGTCCGAAACGTCAGGTAAGTTGTTTTTCCTATTTTTTTTTTTTTTCACAATGTTAAATTTATCTTTTTACACATCTTTATTGATATTTATGCTTATTTAATCATTCAACAAGAAATCATAGGATTGGCAAATACAATGGAAACAATATCCCAGCATAATTTTGGTTGTCTAAAATGTATTTTTAAAGTGCATCTAACCCCTAAAAAATGACATTTTTTTCTAAAATCAGGGAGGTTTCTTAGAACTTTGGCGAAAAAATGACACCATTTTTTTATCCCGATTTCTTTCCAATTTTTTTAACATGCAAGAAAAGGTACTTCGAGCTCCCTGTGGTGGACAAGCAATTCTACAGTATCACGTGACTTGTGACGTCAACCCAGTATCAGATACTGCGAAAATCTCATGTAAACACTTTTGGTAGTAGAGTTTTTATAGATTTTTATAGATTTTTGAGTTAAAAATGCCGAATTGATGTGTTGTTTACGGTTGTAACAACACACCAAATATCAGAGAAGGTATTGTCTTATTGTGTGGGTTGACGTCACACTCATTTCCATACTTCTTTCGAGGCCTGTCCATCAGAAATCCAACTTAAAACATTTGCCAAAAATCAGGAATTGAATGAAATCAAGTCATTTTTTTGCCAAAGCTCTTAGGAACTTCCCTAATTTTAGAAAAAAATGTCATTTTTTGGGGGTTAGGTGCACTTTAACAATTATGTTTATATCCATATTTTGTCTTTTTCAAGGAAGAATAAACATGTACATGTAATATCCACAAAAACAAACAAACAACAGCAACAAATCTCTGGACTAACCTGTCCAGAATACAAAAGATCTTCATCTTTGATATCTTTACCAAATGCCAAGAACATGTTGATGGTTGCCAAAAGCAAACTTGGAAGCTTAAAATAAATTATTATTAATTATTTATAATCAATATTACCAATGATCAATACATGAAATAATATTTTTAAATCCAGCTAAATTAAAAACATTCATTGAGGAACTTATGAGATAGCTACATATATTATGTATTCATGGACTTACATGCTTGCTTGTTACACTAAAGGAAATCCACTTGTAAAATATCAGAATAACAAGGTAGCCAAAGATGCAGCCCAGAAATAATACCTGAAAGACAATTATTATATTATAGCTCAATTCTCACACRTGTGCTGACTGGCGGATTTTACGAGGAAAGCTATATGCTTTATTTCGCCTTTGAACAAGACTTTTAAGTCTAAATGTCGGACGCCACTCGAAAAGGTAAATCACTCTCCTGAAAGCTTGTGATTTACAGATCTTTTCTTGTGTTCTCCCAACCATCCAGCGCAGTTTATTTCACCAGTAAACCACTTCAAGCTATCTTGTATTTGCTATTTGGTATATTTGAATGTATTAAATGCAATACTCACTTGTGGAATGAACTCACACACAATGTTCAAGGGCTTCTTAAAATGTCTGTAGATTTAAGGAATGGAAATTAAATGACATGTGTATGAACAAACATAATAAATAGACACTCCATAATTTATTTACTTATAGTGATTCATCCTAGAGTACACACGCAAATACATAGTGCATAATATGATTACTGCTTTTTTCCTGAAGCTATTGCCTGGTAATACAACTGTATTCAATAGACATATGACTAGATACTCTTCTAGTGGTARTTATAAATGTTGTGAGAACAGTCTATGGCCCTAGTCTGAAAATATAGGATAACATTCATATGGAAAACCTTCCCKGGTCTATGACTATCAATTTGGTCCAGATCAATACACAATGTGCAGCATGGATAGTACAAATCTGAGACTGCAACTACCATCATGCTTGGCTGTACAAAATGGCATCACTGCACATTGTCAGAAACCTATAAGGGACTTGAAAGGTGTAACGCCGTGCTGACCGTTRRAATATTCAAATCTAATTTGCATCTCATTTCCTTATTTGACCTTATTTGGAACAATTAAATTTATCCTATAGCCAAACAGAACGGACCTTTAATCTCTTATCCTACGGCCGAATTTTCCAAATATGGTCATAACGTTCATTTTTWAATTTTTAATGAGTTTCAAATATTCCGACGCTTGGTACTAAAGAATGTACGGGCGTTACACGTTTCAAGGTTTCTGACATTGCCTATTGAACAGCATTTCARTATTCACCTGTGATTGAAGAAACTCAAACAAACACCAAACATCATGTGGATAACTCCGAGAATGATTGACAGCTTCATTTTGAAAGAGTTTGTGAAGTTCAGCTTGTTTTTAGCTACCTGCCAAATCTAGAGCAAAGCAWTCATGATTGAGATAATAGAACTCTCCTTTTATGTCATCAATGTAGGATATGCTTGTGACATTATCATAGCAGATTTCTTATTGCTTTCTCTAAAAACTGATCAAACAATGCAAGTAGTAACCTTGAAGATTTAGAAATCTATTGWAATAGTAAGATACCTAAAGATTGAAGTATGTTCTCTTAAAATTGTACAATATGATTTCACTTAATATGTTAATRAAACTTACTATTGAAATCTTTGTAAAACATTATCAAATTACCTCATCTTTATATGAGAAAGAGATTTGTCCTGATTTGCAWATGGCYTTGACAAAGTTTACCTCTCTTCAAAATGATATTTTGTCTTGATGTTTTTAGCAAAATATGCTTTAGCTTATATAGGA